GATAATTCTGGCTACTGTGTTAGATTATGAGAGAAAACAGCCCCTGAAGCCTGTATGAGTCATATGGTTCCCCTGCTAGGGATGGAAATTCTCGTCATAACATCCACTTACTGGACCTGAGGCTTTAGTTTTCATTGTTCATCATTAGTTTATAGGAAAAACAAATCTATCTTCCAATTGATGAGATGAACACATCTTTATAACTACATAAAAAATCATTATATTCTTTCCTGGATGTTGACTTCTAAAAAATAATAAAAGTAATGCAAGCGCTTGGTAAAACTCCAAATAATACTAAGGGTGGCAAATTAGTAAATACAGGACTCCAGCACTGCTCCTCAATCCCTACCCATTCCCACTTCTCAATTTCTTCACATTCACATTTTAAAAGGAATCTCTTTGGAGATCCCCTTTCTAGAATTGTTTCTAATCATCTACATGTCTCTATACAGATTCTTACCCACAATAAATTTTTCACACTACAACTGCCTAACTTCACCAGGGAAGCTCCTGTTACCCTTTCCCCATAAACTGGCCTGAAAATGTTCAGGATGAACAGGAGCACTGAGCCACAAAATTAGTAGTAGACTAATCATTGGATTTGGGGTCAAAAACATTGAGTTCTAGTTTCTGTTACATCACTTCCTGCCTCTGAGTTACTGAGCAAATCACAGCCAAGTCTTGGTTTCTTCCTATTTTGCCTACATCACAGGGTTGTAGTGAAGCTCAAGGATGTTTGTGTAATAAAGCACTTCTGGTATATTACTGCTAATGAAGACAACCCTCCTTTCCACATACACACAGCTATACCTGTTGGCATCCACTTACAGACAAAGGAGTTTTCATTTTGTAACTAGAACTAGCAAGAGGCATCATGCTTGAGGACAGGTGAGGGAGGATGGGGTAGAAGTGACTTTGTCAGGGTGGGTGATCTCTGGGGTAAGGGTTTTCTGAGTGGCTTTGTAGGCTCAGATGTGGCCAAGTGGGAGTTGGAGCAGGAGGGAATAAAGTGAGTGCGTCCCTCTTGAAAACCATAGATGACAGGATTGGTTTGAGTGTACTTGGGATGCCCTGATTTAGTGACATATTCAGAATCTGAAAAGGAAAAACAATGAAGAAACATTTTGGTGGGAGAGGTTCTAAGATTCTGTTAATATAAAGGAGAGGCTGCCAAGCCCACAAACATTGGACTTGAAGGGTTTTGTAAAAGTATCTTATCACTAGAAAAGAATGCTGGCCATCACTTTGGGAGACCCAGGCAAGTGGAACTCTTGAGCTCAGAAGTCTGAGACCAGCCTGGGCAACATGGCGAAACCCCATCTCTACAAAAAATACAAAAATTAGCTGGGTGTGGTGGGGCATGCCTGTACTGCCAGCTACTTGGAAGGCTGAGGTGGGTGGACTGCTTGAGCCCAGGAGGTTGAGGTTGCAGCGAGCTATGATCAGCCACTGCCCTCCAGCCTGGGCAAGAGCGCAAGAACCTGTCTCAACAACAAAAAAGACTGCTGGACTATTTTGGACTGTCATCCAGGGAATTGGTCTGTTTTTTCCTTTTATAGTATCCCCAGCACTTAGTATACTACGTGGCACCAAGTAGGAGCTCATTAAATATTGGTTGAATGAAGTGACGATTCCTCATACATTAGCACTTTTAGCCCTTAGGATCAAATGAATAACAATGATGTTCATATAGCCAATTTGTAAAGCCCAGTGAGTACCTACTTTCAATTTATCATCTTAATGGTCCAATGAGGCAGGTTTTATATTCATTCTTAATTTGCAGATGTGGTTACTGAGGTCCAGAAAGGTCAAGTCATGTGCCTAAAATCACTTGGTGAAGAAGTAAAAGAGCCTGAAATAAACATGCCCTTCATCACCTACACAGGGTTGTACTTTGATGGTGATAATCAGGTTGTGACTTGTAATATAAAATATAAGAACCAGAACACCCTGTGGCTAAGTATGGTGTGTCCAGAAGGTGGTATATGTCCAGCTAAGAGACGTATCTCCAGGTAGGAAACAGGAACTAAGCAGTCCAGCTTTGCACCACCAGCCAGCGTTCAGCAAGCACTGTATTCTCTGAGGTCCTATGCTGTGCTAGGCACTAAACTTGGTGCTTGGGATACAATAATGAAAAAGCAGAAGGACAGAGTTCTCTCAGGTGGTGGCAGGTGCTGAAATGGTGATCACACACCATCTCAGACTGATAAGACTCCAGGGTGAGATGAAGCCTGGAATGCTCCTCCAGGGTTTTCCAAATACTAGCTCAAGGTCGAGGGACAAACTGTTCAGGAATCTCTTTTTAACACCCATTCAGATGGTTCTGATACACAGCTAGGTTTGGGAGCCACCACTGTAGGTGAGCTGGGCTGATTTCAAGGCATGTCACGATGGCTGTCTCATTTTCCCCAAGCTTTTAGATGAAAAGTTCTACCTTCAGCTCAGCTGGGCTCTGGAGTCACACTTGAGCCAGAATATTAAAATGGGGATGATCACCACCCCTAGGCTAGTGAGGTAACTAGAAAAACTGCCTGCAAGGCAAGGAGAATCTTGTGGAACACAAGGTCATACTGTGAGATGCAGAAGCCCATTTTCAAGGAGACTGTTCATCCAAGGCCAAACATAGAAATCCTGAGTTTTGTTTGATCAAGGAAGGTAGCTGGGGACGTGGTTCATGCCTGTAATCCCAGCACTTTGGGAGGCCGAGATGGGAGGATTGCTTGAATCCAGGAGTTTGTAGACCAGCCTGGGCACCATAATAAGACTCTGTTACTAAAAAAAAAAAAAAAAAAAAAAAAAAAAAAAAAAAAAAAGTAAAAGAAAGGTAGCCAATTCCTCAAGGTAGTAAACCTTGAGTACAGGTCCTCTGGCTCCAAATCCTATGCTTTTTCCATCTTTACCCTGTCCTCTACCTGCAGCCTCTGGAGTGAAGATCCTCAAATGGTTGATTTAGAGACACTAGCAGTGAGCAACATATAGGTATGGAACATCCTCAACATGGCAGCTTGAGGAGGCCCCAGTGAACCCCAAAGTGCTTTTCTGTTAACCTGAATGTTGCTCTCTTCTCAGAGCTCTATTTTGTTTTTGAGAATACAAAGTTTTTACTTGAAGTTGTTTGACCATTTCTCTTATCCTGTATCCCAGTAGCAGTTGAGAGTGCTTATTATGAGGGAGGAAAGAGAGTCCAGGGGCGGGTCCTTGGTAGCTCAAGGGGAGGGCAGAGCCTGAGGTGCTAGGGAAGGAGCTTGCGAGGCCTGGAGCTACAGTCCAAAGGACAGGAGCTGAAGATTCGAGGAACAGAGCCACCGTGCTTCTTTGTTGTCCTGGGAGAGTCCTAGTTTACACCTGTTGTCCCTCCCACTGTCAGAAGTGCCCTAGTCATACAGCAAATGATATGGCCACCCCTACTGAGGGAGGAATTACAGCCCTTCTTTCCTCATTGTTTTCCCCTGGGACATTGCTTTGAAAAAGAAACCACAACTTTCAGATACCAGGACAGTAAACTCCTTATGAGCAGGGGTTGCCTTGTGATTTATTTAAAAATAATAAGAAAAGCATAAAGTGTACTACGTACATTAAGAGAATGTCTGATAAAGGAAGAAATACCCATGTGACGAAATTTTGTATTCCCAGCACATGTATGAATTAATGCTTTCTGCCCTGCCTACCCCTCAGACACAGTTCCCCTCTGGCCAGACCTCAGCCACATCAGTATTTTAATGATTGCACTGACATCTGGTGGTTATTTCCAGGTTTTTCTCTGGGCTGCTCCTGTAAGAGATGATGGATGGGTCTGTACCTTATACTCCATCAAAGCAACTTTTATTTGAGCTATATAATGACTAGACATGACACTCTGATTCATAGCAAGTTGTTGACAGCTGGTAACAGATGCATTGGTATTTCTTAAAAGGTCTAGAGATTAGAGGCAGGGATGACAGTAGTATGGAAGGGGCACAGTAAAATGATAAATAACATCAAGAACTAAAATTTCATGGGATTTTGGGCTTGTGAGGGAGTTATTTTCACATAGGGGTGTCCTTCCTGAAATGATACCAACTAGGCCAAAGGCATTAATGTTCTCAGTAGTAACAAGAAATAAAGTCAACACCAGTGCAGATGTGATCAAATGTCAACTAGGGAAATTTTCTTTTTTTTTTGAGACAGTCTCGCTGTGTTGCCAGGCTGGTGTGCAGTGGTGTGATCTCTGCCCGCCTCGGCCTCCCAAAGTGTTGGGATTACAGGCATGAGCCACCACGCCCGACCAACTAGGGAAATTCTTAAAGTAAAACATGGACACACAATACACCGTTTTCTTAGTACTCTCTGGCTAACAGAGTGGGAGGGAGTGGGGGAGTCACAGCACAGTAAAAATAGTGAGAAAGTAGGGAGGCTATACTTCAAAGTATAGCTTTCCATGTTCCAGCAAGGCATGAAAATGTCTGCAGATACAACAACCTCCCCATACATCACCCCACTTTAATCTACAGGGTAACTTCAGGGGTTTCTCACAGAAGACATTTTAATCCCAATACACCATAAAGAGGATACTAAGAATCCTAATATTCATGGGAGGACTGTTTGGATATCCTCCTCCTTGTACAAAGTAGCTGTAGGCAAGAGGCCTGTCAAAGCCCATGACCTTACATCATTAAGAGCTCAAAGAAAGAGAAAAATACAGCTCCCAGCTAATTTTCACATCATCAGGAAAGTATCACCAATGTATGAGACAGGAACATTTTAGTGGCCATAATGAATGAGGTATCTGGGTATCTGGAACATCTCCAAAAATGCAAGCTGCCTCTCCTTTGCCTCCTTACTGAGTCTGTAAATGTGAAAATAAGTATTTAATAAATCTTTTTAAGCAGTGGGCGTGCCAGTAGGGGTTTGCGGTTATGTTTTATGCTACTGTCCACTGAGCCTTCCACTCTGCCTCTGTGGTTTTCTGACGAGAAATCAATAGCTACCAAGTTTAGGGTCTTTAGAAACATGACACCAGGGTGGATAAGGCTGTGCTTTATTACATGCATAATTACAAATCTGTGCTAAGTGAAAATGTATAAAGCAATGGCGACCTGGGTTTCAGCCACACAGAGAAAGGGCTGGACGATCCATTGACCCTTCTGCCAATGTCCATTCCATTGCCTTTAACATGATTGTTTCCATTTCTTACAATTTGCATAGCACTTACTTGTCAAAGTTCTTTTAATTCATTGTCTCAGTTTATCCTCACAACAACCCTGTGAGGTAGGTAGGGCAATTAACACTATCCCCATTTGCAGATGGGAACACTGAGGCACAGAGCGGTTAAGATCTCGAGGCTAGTTAGTAGAAGCATAGGGAATACAAACCAGGTCTCCCATCTCCCCAGTCCACATCCTCCTTTTTAGACTATGTTGTTCCGCATGACTAGGGAGTAGAATAAAGTGTGCAGTGAGCCATAGCTCTGGTTCAGGCTATGCCTAGGAACAGGCGAGAATAAAGCTAAGAAAGCATGGCTAAGGGCTGGCAACACTCAGATACATAACTGCTCTGGACAGCTCAGCACCAAACTTCCTGTGGAAACTTGGGCTCTGTTAGCTTTGGTTGAAGCTACTTTCTGGATGCCTAGTTACTGCTGAACTTTCGCCAACTCTCAGGCAGTAAAATGTCGAGTCAGATAGGTTTTCTTTGGCTACTGCAGTTGGAGCCAGCCCTACAAATGAGCGTACTACAGAGAGATTCAAATAGTGGCCCATGGGCTGGAACCCGGCCCCTCTGATCTTCCTGGTCTCATTGGCTCACCCAATGGGTGGTAGTTTTCCCACAGTCAGAAATGAATGGGCAGAGGTAACAGTAGGAGGCTGGCCTTGGTCAAATGAAGAAGAGTCTCGCCCACGTGACATCACTGTCCCCCTTAGCTCACATGACCAAGGTATTGACAGGGCCACCTCCTTTCTGGCCTGTACCTGGTTAGCAGCATAGCTTCAAAAGACAGTTTAAGAGAACAAAATATGAAACACATCATTTTAAAATCTTGAATGGAATAAATTCTTAATCATCACATAGTCCTAAAGGACCAAATATATAATAAAAAAGTAAATACATATGTATATAAAAAGCTGAGTGCTAAAAAGGCAGGACAATGGGAGAGAAAGGAAGAAGAGGGGACAAAGTGAAATGGAGGAAGGAAAAGGAACACACTGGAAGGACCATGTATTTTGAGGTACCCTTAATGTGATAGTGAGGCTGAACATTCCCCTCTCAGGCCATACCCTCTTCTTGATTTTGCCAGATGGCATTTCACTCAGCAAATCTTAGACTGCTCCTGAATTCCAACAGATTTGGACTAGTAGATAATACAGTTTAGCAGTAAATACTTCATATGTCTGCCTTGAGATGCTAAAGCCCTCAACACCCCTGACAAGTATCAACGGCTTTGGCCCTCACAGAGAAGCAAGGCCCTGTTGGTCCCATCAACTCAGAAGTATCTTCCATTTTCTGGTCTCAGAACAATCCTCTCCCTCCCCCAAAGTCCACATTCAAAACAACATGCCTGTAAAAAAACAAAGAGAAATGTGAATTCAGGGCATGGTGGGGAGAGGGAAAGAGAACGAGGCAGAGAGCAGGTTGGGACAAGGGAGAGGTAGGAGAGGCAGAGATCTTTTTTTCTTTTAACTCTCATATTTTTATATTATCACATGCTGTTTTCTTCAAAAGCCCAAACTTTAGGCAAAGCATTCATTCAATGAGTGTACACACAGAGGCTGAAGGCCTTTTGGCAGGAACTAAGAGGTAGGAATTTATGACTGCAAGATTGGGCTGGGTGACCTGATAGGTCCCATCCAAGAAATGCAAACCGTCAGATACTTTCTTGGGTGATTTGTCAAAATTAGACTACACCATAGAAAAAGCAATTTTGTTCTCTACATCTATTCAAACCTTTACCCAGCTCCAGATGTTTAGAAATGAGAATATGGCCAGTAAACATTTGGGGAGTAACTTCAAGTTGCTAACACCCATTGTTCTCAGAACTTCTCTTCTTGGAGCAAGCAACTGAAATTTGAAACAAACCAAAGTCAGTGATCACCCCAGGACCACTACACTGGTTGAACTTCAAATTGACACAGCTCCTGAGCTCTGATCTGAGGAACTCTCACTTTTTCTTTCAATATATAATAAGGACATACTAGGAGGCAAAAATACACATTTTTTAAAAATTGCTATCAAAATTCAAGACTAGCTAAACCATAGAGTTTGGGAAATGGCAACAGATGCCACATTTCTTCATGAGCAGATGTCTTGGGTCGGCCCTATCCATGAAACTAGACTACCCTTGAGACAAACATTGCTTTGAACCACTCATTTGCTTAGAAAATCTGGTCTTTGGAGGATTACGTAACTTTTTCTGCCCTTGAGGCCCATGATCAAGCAGTTTATAAATGCCAGAATATATGTTATAGGGGTGTGGGATGGTTTTCCTTCCATCATCTTGCACCACTCAAATATTTTCTTAGCAGGGCTTTTTCCATGGCCTGGAGAATAAACTCTTAGTTTATTATCCAAAGGGAACCCAGGAAATCCCAGAGGTGGCTAAAAAAAATCAAGATTTGGCTGGGCACAGTGGCTCACGCCTGTGATCCCAGCACTTTGGGAGGCCGAGGCGGGCGGATCATGAGGTCAGGAGATCAAGACCATCCTGGCCAACATGGTAAAATCCCGTCTCTACTAAAAATACAAAAATTAGCCGGGTGTGGTGGCAGGCGCCTGTAGTCCCAGCTACTTGGGAGGCTGAGGCAGGGGATTGCTTGAATCCGGGAGGCAGAGGTTGCAATGAGCTGAGACTGCAGCACTGCACTTCAGTCTGGTGACAGAGTGAGAGTCTGTCTCCAAAAAAAAAAAAAGAAAGAAAAAATCAAGGCTTTAGGACATTTAAGTTCACACCACATATTTTGACATCTAATTTCTTTTTAAAAAAGGACTCAATATTCTGCCTCCCACTTACTTTCTAAATTCCTAATTTTTCTCAGGGTTTTTAAGAGCTCAATGTTCTATGGACCACCCAAAAGATGTTCTCTTTTTTTCTCTGAACTGATGGGTGGCCTGCAGTTGGTTCTGATCCAGTGTAGGGGACCCAGTTCTTCACAAGACAGTGTGGTCAGTCATTAGTAAGTACTTTGGCAATATACAATATAAAATATGCTGGCTGTTTCAAGTTCTCACCATTGTCTTCGCTATCATTATTAAAAACGTAATTTCAAAGATTGCACTGTTCATTTTTTTAAAAACAAAAACAAGAGATACTGTGGGATAACAAGTACATCTTCCTATCCATCACCTAACAAAATAAATGAGAATCAAGATTGAACCGCAACACGTGATTGAACTAATTAAAACATACAGCAGTGGTTAATTTCTATAATGGACTCCATTGCATACTACGTTTCTCAAAACATATTTGCCCTCCCTCACGCCTCAATGGGTTCACAAGATCTTGGTTGTGAATTACTTCATGGCCTTAGAGCTCACTAAGCCCCGGTTACTTTATCACTCTTATGTTCAAACAGAATTGAAGATCTGCTAGGAGATGTATACTATGCTCTGCTCTTCCTGTAAAGGGTTTAGATTCAGCCTTTGGTGCAAAAACAATTCAATTGTTTTTCAGTTTAATCACAAATTAATTGTTTGCTCCACCAGCTGGCAAATTCAAAGTATCATCAATGTCAGCTTATCTACCAGAGGATATCTGTTCTGTGGATCTTACCACCTCTACTCAACAGCTGGGCTGAGCCAGGATGCCGTGGCCAGAGAAAGAGTGGAGGATCGGAATATGTTTCTAACCAAACATCCAAGTAGAAATGATTTTTAAACTTGCCATTTTGTATTATCAGTCCCCTGCTTTTCCCCTCCAATATAATGAATCATGCATTTTAACTATTTCAGGTTCTTTGAATTCTTTAAATTGAAGATCTGAAGACACAAAATATAGCAGTTTGACTTTTACAAATCTATAGACTCTCATTCCTTTTATGGCTGGATGTCTATCAGCTACTCTTCCTTGGAAAATCCTAACTCTGTTGAAGCACTAATAGGCATTCTTTTGTAAACCCTTCCCTTGTGTCAGACAATTTTCTCATTTAATACCAAAATAGTCTCGTCTCATTAATTTTTAAATCCCAAACCATCTAGTGTTTTGCCATTGAGGTATGTGGCCATTTGCCGCTGCTGACAGTCCTCCCTCTACTGGCTGTGTTTGTTGCGGAAGCATGTCCAACTGTTAAAGTGGCAATGGCAGAAAAAACATTTTCCTTTTCCTCAAGACAAGAAAGTTAGAGTGCCAAGGTGCTGAGCTAGCAGTCTAGTAGAGAGCTCTAGCCACAATTAGCCAACCTTTGAGCCAAACCATAGGATTGGACATATAGTAGATACCATATACTATAGCTACTTCTAGCATACAAGCTACAAGGATTCCTGAGAAGCTGAGGTTAATGAATGAGATGGATCAGGAGTGAGGTAACAAAGGGATATTGTCATTCTCTGGAGGGCCAATCGGTGCTTAGCATCTACAAAGTATACCTTGGCACAGTGTTATCTGATTTCTCGAATTTATTCTCTGAAGTAGCACCTTAACACTGGCTCATCTGTCTAAAATCAAGAACAGAGCCTAGAAGAAAAACAAAGACAAACTTAAGACACCCTCCTTATCACTACTGCACTATGAAATACAACCAAACCTTTCATTGTCATTAAATACCAGAAATAGTAACATTTTCTGTTTTGCAAACTTTAGTGGGGAAGGACAACTAATAAGACAGGTATTGGACCAGAAATGTACAGATAAGAGCTTTGATTTCTACACAACATACAGAGTAGTCAGGCAAATAGTCTCATATGAAGGAATCAGTGGCATGGAGAGGACAAAATATGTGGTTACTGAGCCATGACTATGATACAATGTACCCCAGAGAGTTTTTTTCTTTTTCATTAAAATGCTAAAGTGATATACTCACAAGGAGAAACTCTAGTGACTCATTTGATTATTTTAAAGATAAATATAAAATAAAAAATGGCTACCCAGTTCTGAGGAAAAAAATAATTTCAGATTTTGGAAAGTTAAGAACTAGGGGTAAAAACATCCTAGATTCAGAGATCAGCAACTCTTAAAATGAGGTACACTGAAGTGTTTGGGGGTAGAGGGTTGGTGGGACTATGTAGAATGACCGCTGATTCTGGGCTGCAAGGATGGTGGGAAGTGCTAGGAACAGAGATAAAAAATGATCCAGGTTGAACTCTTACCCCGGCAGTGAAATCTCACTGCCACAGGCAACCAGTGTGGAAATGGAGGCACGGCAGCAGCAACTGGGCCACATGGCAAAGAAAATAGCTGTGTGTCACCTCTGGTTCATGTGTTGCGAGACTGATGCGCCTTGGTTTACAATTTAACTAGCCCTGGGAGTTATTTTTTTGCAATAGTAATGATTAACTAGGAGCAGCGCTCGATCCCAAACAGAGGATTCAGTACTAAGGAGTAAGAAGGGGAACAGAATGGAGGGGGAGTAATTGCTCATAGGTAAAACTACAGAAAACGAAATAGTGGTTGGAATGATGATGGTGGCTCTGTAATTCCACTAAGTGTCCCTAGAGTGTGATTTTCTTTTTAACTGCAATAAAGATGGTATGAAATGGAGACAGGCACCTTTTCAATTGGATACAAGCACCTTTGGTGTTAACAGGCCTTATCCATACTGCTGGCTCTTAGGATGGCTTTGCATTTTATTTAGAATTCTAAGGACTCTCGAGGGAGTCACAGCTGCCTATCCTGTTCCAACGCCTTGAATATATCTGGAAGTATCCCAAGCCTAATTCATGTTCATGGGGACAACACACTGGCCTGTTATATGTATTTATCGCTGTGAGGTGCAATGAGTGTCCAGTTATTTTAGTACTGGTGGTCTCTACAAAGGAATGCATGAGGATGCAGATGCAGTTCTAAATCTTCGCTGGTTTACCAGCATGCAGTCTAGACTTGGTTCCCTTTACTGTTCTTACATATTCCAGAAGCCTAAAGCACCATCATTCATGGAGGCGGCATCTGGGTAAGAGAATTAATTAGGACCTCACAAAAAAATGTAAAACTGCTAGTCATTGACTTTGCTTAGAAGTTTACTAATTATTCATTTCAAGGAAGCTGGAGGAAATCATTCCTTGCTACTAACAAATTCTTGGCAAAGTCCTTGTCTACTAGCTAACAAATACCACCTGGAAAATTACCCTTTCTGCAGACAAGGAGAAAGCTCTGTAACTTATCTTTGTGCACTTCAAAAGGGTACCAGGAACAAGCAAGCTATAAAAGTCAATCTCTCTAAATTCTTTAGAAGAGATTAACCAAAGCAGCATTGTCTTATGATTAGAAATTAAAATTAACATAAACATACACACATAACAAACTAATAATGCTAAATATTGTAACAGGAATAAGGATAACATTTGAACTGAATCTTCACAGTCTAGAAAATACCATTCCTCTTTTCCTTCTGGCTTTTCTTTCTCTGGTTTGAAAAGCAAAGCCCCTTAGTTTACACTTCATCTTCCAGTAATAACAGATCCCAAAAGAGTGACTTTTTCATCAGTTTCCTACAAGCTATAGGTCAGGACGGTTCCAATTTTTCTTGCATAGTTTTCAGTGATTGCATATTGGCTAACTACTTTTTAAGTTAAAAAAAATCTTTAAAAAAACAAATATAATTAAACCACACCAATCTTAATTATTCTTTCATGAAATCTTCCTAACATAACATCATGGAAGCCTACCTGTAATTTCTCCTAAAGAGAAAATTAATTTCCAGAGATTATGTAGTGCAATTGGTTAACTTGTAGGAAAGAGACAACACACTAACATGACTTCACCATCCAAATATGGAAAATGTGTTTTGGGTACCCGGTTAATAAAACATATCCATGGTCTGTCTTCCTGCTTTACATCCAGAACCCTATGTCTGTGATTCTAGTTGAAGAGAATGGAATCAGGATCTTGGTTCGCCATCTGTGCTATATGCTTTAACACATCCTTTTTGGTAATGATTCCAAGCAATCGCCTAAAAGACAAACACAATACAACAAAACAAAAGTATATCTATAGTTAAAATAGCATTGCCAAAGTTGATACTTGTCCTCCTAAGTCCTTTTCAACTTTGTCTTTGATCACTAGCTGCCCTTTCAGTATGAGATCACAGGAACAGGACATGTGCCCCAGGCAAACAGGATGATGTGTGGGTTCCTAATATGCAAGTGTTCCTACCTCCAGGTCTCAGACCCTGCAATTTCCTCTGGTTTAAATATTCTTCGCTACATATCTGAATCTCATCTACTGCAGCCCAGTTCAAACACCCCTATTCCAGAGCACATTCCCTGATTCTATGAGCCAGCAGGAACTCTGCCCTCCTCACAGCAACAGCATACACATTCTGGGCAGGCCTCCTCAGTGGCACTTGTCTTCTTTGCTATTGTACTATAACCACTGCTAGTTTCTTGCTTTCCCTAAAACAGTACATGTTCCTTGAGGGCACAGAAGGGTCTTACTCATTTTTGTGTCTCCCTGGAATCTAGTGGAATACCCTCTTACATGGAGCAGGGATTCAGTAGATGCTGCATGAACCAGTTAGGGAAAGTTCCCTTACTGATTTAAATCATGCAAGGCATCTGCTACATGATTTAGAAATTTCAGAGGTGAAATTCTTATATAATTGCTGGATTAATGTAGCATGTTGGGGAAAAAATACATCCCTCTCCTCAACCTCCCATCTTTTCCAAAAAAAATAGAAGGGTTCCCTTTACTTGATAAAAACTATCCCAGGAAGGAAAGAGCCTTGGGCTTGCGAGTCAGAAGACTTGTATTTAAAGCCTTTCTCTACTATTTATTAGCGGGGGAAACTTGTATAAATCTCGCCACACTGAAACTTGGTTTTCTCATCCTCAAGTAATAACAACAAGGAGACTATAGGGGCCAAACACCACAAATATACTACTACCTGAAGTTATAATTTCAGTGCTGCCTGTGTACAAAACACAGCTGTTTCCTTTGTGAGGGAGGAACTGAGTTATTTATAATGTGCAATTTGGCAGTTCACATCTCTCAAACACATGTTCTTTCCAAAACTCCTTTTATATTAATTATGATTTAAAAACCTATCCACTTTCATCTCAGAGCTTCAAAAAGTCCTAAAAGTGCTACTAATGTTCATTTAGACTAGGCTCCCCTTCTTTCTCTCTCTGCATTCTCTTTTCTCCCACAATCCAATTTGCTTTCACTCAAGACTTCTTACCCGTTGTGTGTAACCAGGCACTGCCGCAGTCCCAGCTTTCGGAAAATATCCACTACAATCTCCATGGGTGTAAGGTCAGTCACAGTGAAGGGGCTGAGATCCAGAATGTTCCGAAGCTTCAGAGTGGGTGGAGTGTATGGAGGCAATGGAGGAGAATGCTCCGTGAAGTAAATGATGGAAGTGCTAACAACCCCATCCTGTTTCTTTCTAGCATTTTCTATTAGAATAAAAGGAAAAAGAAAATTGAACATGGAAGTGCTAGTTCTATCCTTCTGGCTCCTAACCAGTCCCTTCTTCCCTGTCTTCCCTCATTTCATGCATATGTATTGAGTTACACAGTGGATTCCACTAACCCCTTTCTGAAATCCTTACCAATTGAAATAATGAGATCTCTTCGGAGAACAAAGCCCACAAGTCTTTGGGACTCCCGGGATACCACCACTGGGAAGCCACTGTAAGTGGTTTCACTGATTATGGTCTCCACATCTTCCACAGTCATACTGTCCTGAGTAAGGACAGTCAACAAAGGATCATTTCTCCGGGGTTTCATCACATCCATTGCCAGGGTCTTATGAGCAAACTCTTCTTTGGCTTCAAGAAAGGGGTACCCATTGAGACGGATGTGGGCATCATAGATGCCCTCCCGCCCAAGAGCATCTGCCACCCACTTGCTTGTCATGGCTGCAGCCATCAGAGGTACGATGTATTCTAAGCCACCAGTCAGTTCAAACATTATGACAACAAGAGAAACAGTCATCCGAGTCACCCCACCTGCAAAGAAATAGACACAGTCTACTGAGGCAGGCAAAATATAGGATTCTTAAAATTACGGGCCTTTCCAGGAAAAGCTGACCTACCAGAAACAATGAGGTCTCACCTACAACTGTGCAGACCCCAGAGATTTCAAGAAAGCAAGGTTACAATGGACATGATTCAGAGTTCTCAAAATATATTCACAAGATGCCTTCTGCTTTTCTTTTTCTTTTTTTTTTTTTTTTTTGTGATGGGTTTTGTGCTCTGTCACCCAGGCGAGAGTGCACTGGCATTATCACTGCTAACTGCAACCTCCATCTCCCAGGCTCAAGTGATCTTCCCACCTCAATCTCCTGAGTAGCTGAGACTACAGGCACATGTCACCACACCTGGCTAAATTTTTATTTTTATTTATTTATTTATTTTTTGAGACGGAGTTTCGCTCTTCTTACCCAGGCTGGAGTGCAATGGCGCGATCTCGGCTCACCGCAACCTCCGCCTCCTGGGTTCAGGCAATTCTCCTGCCTCAGCCTCCTGAGTAGCTGGGATTACAGGCACGCGCCACCATGCTCAGCTAATTTTTTGTATTTTTAGTAGAGACGGGGTTTCACCATGTTGACCAGGATGGTCTCGATCTCTTGACTTCATGATCCACCTGCCTCGGCTGCCCAAAGTGCTGGGATTACAGGCGTGAGCCACCGTACCCGGTCAATTTTTAATTTTTGTAGAGTTGGGGGTTTCGCTATTTTACCCAGGCTGGCCTCAAACTCCTAACCTCAAGTGATCCTCCCTCCTCTGCCTCCTAAGTAGCTAGAATTACAGGTATGAGCTACCGTGTCCAGCCCAAGATGCCTTCTTGATTCTTTGTTCTTTCATTTTTCTGTTGCTTCTTTTCCCTAATTTGAGAATACATGCCCAGTGTGGAAAATCCAGAAGACAGAAACGTTATTATCTATTAGCTCACTGCTGATAAATAAGCACAGTAAAAATTTTGAATAACTTTTTCAAGTTTCTTTCTATGCAAAAACGTATGTTTTTTAAATAAGTGAGCTCACATCATATGTTTAATTTTCTGCCACGTTTCCCCCTCTACTTTATGTTGGGAACATTTTGCATATTATTACAAATTTATATAACATCATATTTTAAGATGTTAAACATATTAACATTATATTTTAAGATGTTAAACATATTAACATCATATTTAAAGGCAGCATTGTATAACATCATATGGATGTACCACAATATTTAACCATCCCTCATGTGCAAATTCAGGTTGATTCTAATTTTTTGCTTATACTATGATACACATTCTTGTGCAGATATCTTTGTCCAAATTTCTGATTATTTCCCCAGTATGAGAGAGCAGAATTCCCATTCTTTTTTATTATTTTTACTTTTTTTTTTTTTTTTAGTTTCCTCATCTGTATACTAGATGCTTTCTTAATGTGCTTGGAGAATGGCAAACCTAACTGGAAAGGGATGGGCATTTAAATTTTCCTGCAGCCAATTGTGTTTAACCAGGCACTGCTGCAGTCCCAGGTTTCAGAAAATATCTACTACGATCTCCATGGGTGTAAGATCATAACCATGCTCATAACCAACTCTTATGTTGCCTGTCACCTGGGTAGCAACTTCTTTGAAATTAAAGCAAATACTACTCACCTAAGCAGGCTGCAGCCCCAACCATCGCATAAAGGCCAGGGGTGATGCAATCAGCTCCCTGACTACACCAGCTATTGAAGACGGTCCATTCCTGGTGGTAATAAGCCAGTTGTTCCATTCCTACTCCTAGAAGTCGACCTGCTATAGCACCAACAGCCATGCTAGGGATAAAGAGGCCAGAAGGGATCTGCAAAGAGAAAGCAATAGATGGTTAGTGAGAAATGATGCAACTGCTTGGTACATGGTAAGGGCTGGAGGACCGACCCTCTGCAAAGCAAACAGGCCAATTACAATTTAACTATGCACTATGCTAGCAAGTGGCTGTAAAGATCTGTGTAACACTACAGGGACTAGAGGTTCTCTGGGATGTGCAGGCAAGGACGACTGCAAAGAAGCTTACCCTGATTCGGGGTCCATCAGGCAAGAGCCTGAACTCTCCAGACCAACACAGAACTGGAGGCAGAAATTAGGCCTTTCCCAAAGAAAAAGGAAAATAGATGGAGTTTCTCATATATGCAGACATTTCCACCAATTTTGAATTCTTTTCAACGACTACCCTTTATTGAGTACCTACCATGTTCTATGCTGGATGCTCTACATGCAAGATTCATGGGTTCTTTATAACCCCAGGAGGTAGGCATTATTATTCCCAAATGCCAAAGAACCTAAGGTTCAGAAAGGTTAAGTAACCCACCAAAGGTCAAGATTTAGTAAAGACTGGTGATGGGATTTAAATGGAACACTCATAACCATGCTCATATATTGAATCTTAGCCCACTGCTCACACAAAAAGGATGGCACATAAGGTTTCAGTCTATTTTATAACAGTATCAAGAAAGATTAAACAATTAAAATTTTTAAATGAGATCATGACTATGGTTATATGATTAACCAAAAAAGGAAAGGTCATCTATTTCCCCACTCTTTTTCTTGATTCCTAGGATATTAAATTATTAATATTCCGTACTAAGAGAAGGAAATAATGGTAAGGATAACCAAAAGAGCAGATTCTTTTTAAATAGCTTGTGCTTGATTTTGGAATGCATTTGAAGCTGGTGTTCTGATGGTTTACACATGCCCTTTAAGTGAAGGAATGCAGGCATGAGGTGACAATTAACTCAAGAAGCACTGCAAAACTTCCCAGGGTCTCCATCCCATCCCAGTATTGAAGGGATGAATGGTGTCATCTTAGAGATTATAGTATTGCCTAAATTGAGTTGCTATCTCTTCCTTTCTGGCTTGAATCTCCATTTCTCTAGAGAATAGAGGAAAATTACTTGTTAGTTAGGGTGCTAAAGAAAAGAAACAACCAACCAAAAACCTAGAAAGGAGGAGGAAAATACCTTAACAAATTTTCTTTTCTGGCTTCTTCTGAAACATGGAAATGGTAACAGGTACCGAAAGTAAAACATGCCAGCCTGATATCTGCTTTTGATAGCTTAAATATTAACTAAGGATCACCTGTGAAGTGGATCCCACTTATTGACACTTGAACATTGATACCAACTGTAAAAAATATATTTAGCTATAATATTGGGTTGAACCACAGGAAATTGCCATTTTAGCAGTCAAAATGGTTGAATCCCAGCAACTTCTTTGGTTCAATCAATATTGTGCTTTATTGGTAAACTCTAAAGCCACCCCATAAGGACTAACACTGTGCTAGTCAGATATCATTTTAATATAAAATGTACTGGAATAAATACCTCACCATCCTTTTTGAGGGGCAAAATATGTTTTCCACAGAAAAGGAGAAAACATTCTTCCTAAAATTTCATCACTGAGGCTGGCATTTGGACAACTCAAGGCTTGGTCAATTTGAGATAGAAGTACAACTGTCTAGCAAGTTATGAGAACATGTGGGGTAAAAGAGGCTTTGGGGGTAAGGGAATAATGTGAGGGGGATTTGAAAGCACCATATGAGCTATCAGGACTGTATGATACCTGGGCTTTACCCTCCAAAACCCATAGCCATGCATGCAGCCACTGAGTCCTAAAAGAATTCCTCACCTTCATGCCAAAGGTGAATATAGTAATGACAATTTTCAGTATGAGTGTTAAAGCCAGCTGCCACATTGCACTGTAGACTCCCACACCAGCCGGTCTGTCAGGCAGTTCACCCCCCTTGCTTGTGTTGAAACGGTTCTCATAATCACAGAGCTTGGAGGAGTCCAGAAGGCCACAGTCATTAAACAGCTCAGAAATGAGCTCACTTGTGCTCATCCGAGTGTATTCATTGGGGAAAGCCAGGACGGCAGTGATGGCTGTCACGACGAGTACCTCTATAACAGGATACTTGCCCAACTGGGTGGTCTTTCGCTTCCGACACCAGGCAATGTTTGTGCGGATAAACAGCGCTCCCCAAAGACCACCAAATATGCCCAGCAGAACGAATGGCACGAGCTCAAAGAGATGCCATGGGGTGTGAAACTCCACATAAAATAGAACCAGGCGGCTGTTCCCAAATGGATTGATGGAGCGTAGAGTAAATGCTGCCACCAAGGCAGCAAAAAATGAACGCCACAACGTTTTAAGGGGAAAATAGTAGCTGACCTAGAAGAAAGAAGGTGAGAAAGTAAACTCAGTCAATATGCAGAAACTCTTTCAGGTGAAAAGCTGTGCTGCAGGCATTAGAGTCAACTCAAGGATGAAAACTGCCCATGGAATTTTAGTCACATCGTAAAGCACCAAGTTGGGGAGAGCACTCAGGGACTGTGATATACACAGATATTGTACATTATGTACAAAATTATTGTGCTGCAAAGTACAAAATTCCTGACACAAAAGCATGCACGTTATGCAATGAAAAGTTGTTACCTCTTCAAGGCTGAATAATACTCCACCTATAGGTGCTCCAAAAGCTACAGATACACCAGCTGCTGCTGCAGCCGACAAGACCTACAATCCAAAACTCAGAATTAGTGATAGAATAATGCTGCTCTCCTCCACTCAATCACATTTTTAGAAGGAATGCTAGTGGTTACTGAACATTTAAAAAAAAACCTTCACATGCTCCATATCATCAAAAACAAAGTTCAAACACTGTATGCTGAATTTTGAACACACATGTATAGTTCACATCCTTGACCAGGTAAGAGGGCCTTTCCTTTGTAATTGATTTAGCCATGTGCTTTATTCTAAATTTTGCCCCCATCTCCCATACTCTCAATTCAGTAACTGCATTTGAGTTTCTAGACCTATTTGTTCACCATCTAAATGGTGTACTTACAGTGATTTACTTATTTATATAGCACTTTGTAAAGGAATGCTTTTTAAATGACATGTTCAAGAAGGCTCTAATGACACAAAATCAAAGTCACAATCGGTTCACAGCTATTCAGCAGCTGAAAGTATTCATGCAATAGGTATTCAGAGTTTCCTGTACCCTGTGTCCTACTCTATGCCCAATATACCTATGGACATAGAAATAAGGGGGCAATTAGACTTTTAAGAGAAGACTTAAGGTATGGCAAGGAAAGGGAATAGAGGAGAGTGGGAGAGGAAGAATGAGCCAAAAGCGATAAAGAGAGAAAGACTAGTGATGCTTAGAGAGCTCCAGCTCTGTGTAGGCGTATGTGTACATGTAAAATGTACATGACAAACACTAGTAATGGCAAACAAACCAAAATTAACAGATGGACCAAGTCCTTTCATTGGATTCTGGTTGCTATGGAGAGAGAGACGATTTGGAAAAGTAAAGAAATATTTTAGAGGAAGTTGAACAAAATTATGAGTTTTAAGGAATAAAAAGGTCCTTGGCAAAATAAGCATATAGGATTCTCTGGGAGAGTAGGATGGCTCAGGAAAGTGATGGGGAGGAAAGAGTGGAGTCTCTGGTGCTAGCTGTAAGGGGTTTGAAATTCCTAGCTACACTGGCTTTCATTTAAGAAAGATGAGAAGAGCCAACATGCAACTTGAGAAAGGGGATTTCAGTGACGACGTTTAGGAAGAATTAAGAGACAGAAAGAATCAGCGTGGCTAGTTTAATTTTACTAGAGTGGAGTCTGTCTACACCCTTCTTTCTCAAGTCTGTTTTACTCTCAACCATCTGACCACTTTGACAAGACCATCAGACAAAAAAGGTTGCCACTGACGATGAAAATAACAGGAAAAAAATAACTGGAAAGTCTAAATAAGTACTAGAAAGTAAATTTAAGATTCAAATACTAGGCGGTTGTGCTAGCTCATGCCTGTAATCTCAGCACTTTGGGAGGCTGAGGCAGGAGGATCACTTGAGCCCAGGAATTCAAGACTAGCCTGGGCCACATGGCAAAAGCCAGTGTCCACAAATTCTAAAAAGTAGCTGGGTATAATGGCATGTGCCTGTAGTCTTAGCTACTTGAGAGGGTGAGGTAGGAGGATTGCTCAAGCCTGGGAGATGGAGGTTGCATTGAACCGAGATCACACTACTGCATTCCAGCCAGGCCGACAGACTGAGACCCTGTCTCACAAAAAAAAAAAAAAAGATTCAAACAGTGTTATGCATCACAGAACAATGTTTCAGTCAATGATGGACCACATACAACATGATGGTCCCATAAAATTATAATATTATATTTTTACTGAACTTTTTCTATGTTTAGATGCACAGATATTTACCATTGTGTTCAAATTGCTCATAGTATTCAGTATAGTCACATGCTGTACAGGTCTGTAGCCTAGGAGCAATAAGCTATATCATAAAGCCTAGGTGTATAGCAGGTTACACCATCTCAGTCTGTGTAAGTCCAACCTATAATGTTTGCACAGTGATAAAATCTCCTAACAATGCATTTCTCATAACGTATCCCTGTCAATAAGTGAGACATGACTATATTCATGAGTCTAGTTGGAGAAATACATGGCATCTGTACAGAGAAACAGCCAAATCAAATTCCTCTCTTATTTTATTAGAAACTATTTGAACAAAAATGCTAATTGTATAATATGAAAGTCCCCAGCAATCTGTAGTTTCAAATTCACCTTCATCCATGCAAAACCAGCAACAATCACCATTTCACTCTTACTCATTAAAATATTTTTTTTTTTTTTTTTTTTTTTTGGGACGGAGTTTCGCTCTTGTTACCCAGGCTGGAGTGCAATGGCGCGATCTCGGCTCACCGCAACCTCCGCCTCCCGGGTTCAGGCAATTCTCCTGCCTCAGCCTCCTGGGTAGCTGGGATTACAGGCACGTGCCACCATGCCCAGCTAATGTTTTGTATTTTTAGTAGAGACGGGGTTTCACCGTGTTGACCAGGATGGTCTCGATCTCTTGACCTCGTGATTCAAAAAAAAATTTAAACACAGAAAAGGTAAAAGAATAGCACAAAGAATTCCTATATATCCTTTATGTAGATTCTGCAGTTGCTACCATTACTGCATTTGTTTTTACAATTCTCTATTTTTTTTTTTTCTGAAGAATTGAAATTTCACTCAGAAAAGTCAGTTGCACATATAAGGCTCATGTACTTTGAAATGCTTCAGTGCATTTCGGGTATAAATACTTTTATGTCTGAAAAGCAAAGACAGTCTCTTCCATAATCACAGTTCAATGATCAAAATAGGAAATTTACACCAACAACTGTTATTTGATCTATAAATCTCATTCAAATTTCATAACTGTTCTAAAAAAGTATTTCTAGAAAAAAATTGTTTTTTCAACTCTTCCCTTTTGTTGAACCCATTCAACCACCTCACCAGTTTAATACTGCCTTTAAGTCCCTCTACCGTATGACAGGTAGCTAAACAATCTACTCATATTTCCCTATCTTCTCTCCTGCTAGTTTTCCTCTCCTTTCTAACTGTGCCAGGAACTTTCTCCCTTGAACCACCAAAATTTATTCTACATTTGAAATTTCAATATCTTGGAGTTTCCTTCTGGGTCTTGTGGTTAATATTTTTCGTTTGTTTTCCTAAGAAATCATTAGGTTCCTGTTTTGTGAAAAATCCTTTTTAATGAATTGACCTTGGTTTTGACCCATTCCGTATGCAATGTCTTTGTAATTTAAAGAAAATAAAGTAAGAGCCATTATTTTCCTAAGCCCTTAATTATAGCAAGAAAAACAGTAAACCAATGACTTGGAACTTAAAAAAAAATGTCCTTCCTCCTCAAAACAGCATACATTAACAACTGCACAAACATGACAACCACCACAGAGTTGCCGTGGCGGGACTAATTGAGTTGGGCTGAAACAAAAGGCAGAGAGAGGTCTAATACAGAGAGAAACTAATTCAAATATAGTGCTAGATAGAATAGAAGGTAAAAAAAACTGACATCTGAAACATACACTGCACTTAGATGTGCTACTCCATAGGAATAAACATCTTTTAAAATCTTTCTGTAACTTACTTTGTAAGAGAAGCAACATATACTTGAATACAATTATATAAAATAGTTAAAATCCTTACATCTGCTTCACTACCACCTCACTCTCTGACTCACCATAGATAAACATTTTTAACAGTTTCGCATAGGCCAGGCATGGTGTCTCACACCTGTAATCCCAGCAGTTTGGGAGACTGAGGCAGGATTGCTTGAGCGCAGGAATTCGAGAACAGCCTGGGCAACATAGTGAAACCTCGTTTCTACAAAAAATACGAAAATTAGCTGGGTGTGGTGGTGCACACCTGTAGTTTAAGCTACTCGGAAGGCTAAGGTGGGAGGATCACCTGAGCCCAGGGAGGTCGAGGCTGCAGTGAGCCGTGATCATGCCACTCCACTGCAGTCTGGGTGACAGAGTGAAACTGTCTCAAAAAAAAAAAAAAAAAAGTAAAACCAGTTTGGGGTAAAACCACTTTCCAGACATTTTCTATTAATAAGTGCATATATACTTTCAAAAAATATGAATTATATACATTATTCAAAAACTGACTTTTTAAATCTAATGGTGTTTCATAGTCAGAATTCCAAGTCAATATATATAAGGTTATCTCATTTAATGGTTACAAAATATTCTACAGTATGAACAGAATAGTATTTATTCAATTAGTTCCCTATTCATGGACATTTTTGTTGCTTCAGGTTTTCACTATGTTGACAGACGAGGCACTATCCTTATACGCCTTTGTGCACATACATGCCAGGATGTCTGTAGGATAAATTCTTAGAATTGGAATTGCTGGGTCAAAGGGTGTTTGCATTAACACCGGTAGAACCCCCAAATTCTCACCCCCTAAGATTGTGTCATTTATGCTCACAACCAAAAAGAGACTATTAAGGCCATTTGTTATTACCTCTCTGCGCTTGGCTTCATTCTTCCTGTATTTGTTGAAGCAGTGGCACAGGATGTTCCCACAGCAGCAAGCCACGTGCACTAGAGGGCCCTCTTTGCCCAGGCTCAAGCCAGATGACACTGCCAGCACCAAGGTGATGGTTTTGATAACCAGAGTCCACTTACCCAAATAGCCCCTAATAATGAAACCACTCAAGATAGTTTTTATCTGCAGGTCAAACACAGAAAGTTTGAATATAGACTAAGGAAGTCAACAACGCTAAGAAACAAAAATCTGGACCTCATTAGAGAAATTGCATCTTTTGAATAAGTGACATATAAATGCTTGACCTACAGTGATCCCTGTTTGGAAGGGAGCCCAGGAGCCCCAGAAAGCAAGAACGGTTCTTTAAGCTTTCATGTTCCCCCTCTTTTAGGGGGAGGGGAGTGACAGCTGGGCAAGGATGTATTGTAAGTATGAGTGTGCATATATGAAGGAGGAGCTGGAGAGGGAGGGATAGGTGTTTTCCTCAAGTTAAAACATGGTAGCCCAAGAGGCACATTCTGAGAGGACAAGGCTAATGTCCCTGAAACAACCTTAAAGGTTAGGTATAGTTTTTATCCCCTGAAAAAAAAAAAAAAAAAAAAAAAAAAAAAGCGACTTATTACCTGGTCAGGAAACAGGAAGGGGCAAAGTCATCCTGGTAACCTAAGTCTCAATGTCTTCAGTCACTGTCAAGCAATCTAAGCCAAAAGTAGTTAGTAACAGGGTTTTAACCACCCCATGTAGCCTGAATCATATTGTGGGAAATGGACCAAGTGGTTTTCTTTCTTTTGCTCTGAAAAAGCTGACAATAACACTGCTTTTTCAGGTCAGAATCTCGGGATTTACTCTGGGAACGTTTTGGAGAGGGAACAGGGGAGATTTTCCAGAGCCTGGCTCAACAGGAACCCTCAGGAGGCTAAGAATCAACTCCCTTTAATTTCCAGGTAGCCCAGGCTGAGAGGGACTTGTGGAAAGACCTAGGCCTTAGATGGCCTCAGGATCAAATCCTGCCTAACATTCATCAAATTGTGGTATGTGCTGGAATACATATTAAGAGATTTTAACCAAAAAAGATTCATATTGTAACCATATATAAACCATTTTAAGAGACTCACCTCAGGGATTCCGGAGCCACAGGCATAAGGTGCAAACACCTTGACAAGAGACACGGCAAGGAAGGCAAATAGGAGAGCCCAGAGGACGTACATGAAATAATTGACTATGTAGGCAAAGGCTCCCTGGAACAGGGGAAAAAAGAAGCTTGTTTTAGCCTAGACAGCTGCAGTGAGGCATGCAGCTCTTCTAAGTAATGGTTTTTCAGGAAAGAAGGTCCGAAAAAAAAAGACCAAGAATAAATTGTTCAAGATGTTTCTTCCTGAATTGTCAAACACTGTCAGGCCACTTAGTACTGAAAATGAGATGCTTTGCTACACCCAAAGGAAATTGACCATGAATTCTAAGGACAGACAAGGAGAAGAGCAAACTAAAAACCTTGAAACCAAATTCTTTTTATATATGAGAGCTTTGATGGGTTTTGTAGTCAAATATATATGATTCCATGTCATTTTACCAAGAGTCTTAACAGCACCTCCCCTTTTATTTTGGAATGGCTAAACCTTGGCTTTACATTTGAAGTGAAGAGCGGATCTCAAGTTCCAACTAAATTTACCTTTGGCTACTTACCTTGGTGTCAAATTCTTATAGATTATAGTAACAAAATTTCTGAGTATTTTTTTCTTTTATTCTTTATTGTATATATTTAAGGTATATAACATGATGTTTTATATACATATACATAGTGAAATTGTTACCACATTCAAACAAACTTACAAGCATTTTACCTTACATAGTTACCTTTCTTTGTATGTGTGGTAAGAGCATCTAAAATCTACTTCTTAGCAAATTTTTAGTATACAGCATTATTGACTCTAGTCCTCATGCTGTTAGCTCTCTAGACTTATTCACCCTACCTCACTGCAAATCTGTACCCTTTGGCCCACTTCTCCCCATTTCCTCCTCCTCCATGCCCCAAGTAACCATCATTCTGTTCTCTGGTTCTGTTTACTCAACTTTATTTTTAAGAGTCCACAAAAGAAAATTTTGGTACCACAGACTCAGCAACAACCATATAAATAGAAAGTTTTAGGCCCTGGTCATACCAGATATAAATAAATAAAATGGCAACAATTATTTTTATTTTTATTTTTTTATTTTTTTGAGATGGAGTTTCACTCTTGTTACCCAGGCTGGAGTGCAATGGCGCGATCTCGGCTCACCGCAACCTCCGCCTCCTGGGTTCAGGCAATTCTCCTAATTATTTTTAAAATGGAAAGAATATACATTTTGAGACTATTCCCCTGTGATAAATGAAGCATGACACAAAAGAAATCTAGTTTCGACCAGCAGTAAAGATTCATCCATATTAAAGGGTCTGCAAATAGTCATGTCTTACAAAAAAGCAATTTTGATTAGGAAGTTATGCTTGCTGGTAGAAATATTAGGAGTTACAACTAAGTCAACTTACATAAAATACAAAACTCAATAGACTTTTGAGTTTTCAAAACATGAAACACTATTAAAGTAATTCACTGACCTAGACAAAGAGAACCAGAATACGCTCAGGTTTTTTCTGAGTTGTAAATTTGACACAGGTTTTCCATTATCTTAGGCCCTCAGAGGAACACATGATTGCTATTTCTTTGCCTTTCCAATGTAGCTAAGGAGGAAGAAGACTGCAGAGGTAGGAAACAAAGACGGTAAGGGAGTGAAAGGAAAAGTAACTCAAACTGGCCAAAGGCAGAGACCAGGAGGCCAAATTCCTGGCATTTGGAGAAGGCTTCTTAAAGCCTAGAGGACTCTTTTCCCAGGGAAGGATTTCACTCATAAAAAGAAGAGCCAGAGAAATTTGTCCCTAGAGCAAATCTCAAGCTCTAGTTTGAAAGTAATTGTTGGAACACTTACACACACACAGCTATGACGGGGCAGTATGAGAAAGCCCTGCAGTGATAGAACAGTTCTAAATCTTGACTGTGGTGGTGGTTAAACAAATGCCCACACGGGATAAACTGCAACGAACTACATGTGTGCACCCATATACATACAAATACATACATACACACATACATGCATGTATACATAAATCAGTGTGTGTAAAACTGGAGAAATAAAGCCAGTGGATTGGACCTATGTCAATTACCTGGTTTTGCTATGGCATTACAGTTATGCAAGCTGTTGCCATTGAGGGAGGGAAGGCTGGGGGCAGGGTACTGAGGACCTCCTTATACATTGTTTTGCAACTTCTTATGAATCTGTAATTACTTTTGTGTGTGTGTGACAGGATCTCACTCCATTGCCCAGGCTGGAGTGCAGTGGCACTATCATTGCTCACTACAGCCTAGATCTCCTGGGTTCAGGGAATCCTCCCACCTTACCTTCCAAGTAGCTGGGAACTATAGGTGGTTGCTAACACCTATATTTTTTTAGACACAGCGGTCTCGCTATATTGTCCAGGCTGGTCTCAAACTCCTGGCCCCAAGGGATTCTCCCTCCTCAGCCTCCCAAAGTGCTGGGACTAGAGGCATGAGGCACATCTCACTCAGCCCTTGGAGGAGAGGATTTTTGGGTTTTTTTTTGAGATGGAGTCTCGCTCTGTTGCCCAGGCTGGAGTGCAGTGGCATGATCTCGGCTCACTGCAACCTCCACCTCCTGGGTTCAAGCAATTCTCCTGCCTCAGCCTCCCGAGTAGCTGGGATTACAGGTACCTGACACCACGCCCAGCTAATTTTTGTACAGTTTTTAGAAGAGACGGGTTTTCACCATGTTGGCCAGGCTGGTCTTGAACTCCGGACCTCGGGTGATTCACCCACCTTGGCCTTCCAAAGTGGTGGGATTACAGGCATGAGCCACCCCACCTGGCTAATAGTTTTAAAATAAAAGAACCCCCCCAAAAGCAAGGGAAATACACACACACACACACACACACACACACACACACACACACTTTCTCTTTCTCTCTCTCTCTCTCTCTCTCCCCCACCCCCCGCCCTAAGTTGCAGGACTTCCCGAACTTTTCTACCCAAGTTCTCCTAATCTAGGAGAGAATAAACAAAGGCATCAGAGTATAGGACAGGGTACCAGGAGCAGAGCTGAAACAGAGTTTTATTTTTTCTTAACAAGTATGAAATTTTGCATTCCATTTTTAAATGATTATTTACACATAATTTTTGAAAAACATTTTCCTAATATTCAGGAAAAAGTAATGCTCTAGGAAGGCATATACTGTTTGTCCTGTAGTTTCACCTACCCTCTGGCATGGTGACCTCACCCTAGTTTGAGAAGCATAGACCTAAACCCTCTCAAACATACAGCATGTATGTATTCCTTTTATTGAACCCTTTATGTAAGCCAATATGCATGGTCATATATGCATATAAACACTCCTATTTCTATCTTTATTCTTTTCCTAGCCTCCTTTTTTTCCTGGACCGTTTGTATTTATGTATGTGCCTGTACATGCCACCTCAAACTGTTTGAGATCAAGGTGGGTAATATAAATGTTGGCAGAAGTCAGGGTAGAATTGGGAGTTGAGAGTTTTTTGTTTTGTGTGATTTTGTTTTCAGTGGGAGAGATCAAACATATAACTGAGTGGTAAAAGAAAGGTAAGTAACTGAAAAATAAGCAAAGTTACCCTGGCATCAAAAAACATATGCTAGGCCAAGCACAGTGGCTCATGCCTGTAATCTCAGCACTTTGGAAGGCCAAGGCAGGAGGATAACTTGAGCCCCGGAGTTTGACACCAGCTTAGGCAACACACTAAGACTCCATTTTTACAAAAACAAACAAACAAAACAACAACAACAAAAAACAAAAAAATCAAAAAATTAGGTGTAGTGACATACACCACACCATAGTCCCAGCTGCTCCGTAGGAGGACTGGTGAGAGGATTGCCTGAGTCTAGAAGGATGAGGCTGCAGCAGTGAGCTATGGTCGTGTCACTCCACTCCAGCCTGGGTGACACGGAAAGACCCTGCCTCAAGAAAAAAAAACATGTGCTAGAAGAGAAGGGCAAATGAAAACATTGATTTGATTGCAAAATGGGATGATAGGCAATTTTATTCTTGGGTTTCTATTATTTTGACATGGAATGCATTGTAATTTTTTCAATGTTCTAATGCAACGCTCAGGGAAAATCGCTTTTCCAGTCTATATGTATAAACACATTTTTAAACCACTCTATCCTTCATTAGAAATTATAGCTCACCTGTTGGCTGCCTCTGACATTTCTTTTGAAATTATTAGAAAATGAGAAATTCAGTCACACTATGTATTAGTATCTAAGAAGAAACACCAAGCTTATTAAAGCAAACAAAAAACCATTTTAAACATAAGCGTCAAATGACTCCACACATCAGCAGAGATGGAAATAGAGCTGCACTTAAACCACAGAGAAAGGCAGCTGGTACAGGTTCCCCTTTCTGTGAAAAGGAAAATAAAGGAAGATTCCACAATTGCTGTCAGTGTAGTATAAGAAATAAAATAAGTAAGAATAAAAGTCAATGGCTCATAAAACATCACTACATGTTACCTCATCTGTGCTGATGATAAGCTGGGACCAGCTATTCCACTCTGGGCATTTGTCTCTCTCTTCAAAGGTGACATGCTCAGAGTTCCAGCAACAATGTTCATGGTTAAACCAGAATCCCCCTGTGCATATACCTTCTTTTAAGTCTGTCATCCAGTGAGCAGAGATGTCTATCAAACCAGCTAATGAACCTGATTTGTGGGAAGGGAGGGAAAGGCCAAAGTTAAATTGAATCTTGCAACTGTTCTTTGGTCATCAGAATAAGCTTTGTCAGAAAAAATGAGGGGAAAGGAATTAAAGTAAGGGATGAGCACATACTTCCCCATTCCACCTGCAACCTCTGATTGTGTGTCTGCTTGATTTTCACTTATTATCTCTGCACTAAACATTGGCATCGGTAGAATTTCTATATAGAAGGGGGTTAGGGAAAACAAAATGGTTGAGTGGGCGCAAGGTGCTAGTAGACCTATCTTTAAGCTGAACTAACAGGGCAAAAACACTGTTTTGACTTCAATTTTATGAATTTGATCAATAAAGAGTCAAGTTTATTAAAGATTATTTTATTCTCACCTATATATATATGCAAGATTCAGAAAATGTGAATTGCCCAGCATTGAGGAATAGTCTCTGATGTTTATTTGAGATTGGTTAGAGAGGAGAGCTGACAAAGATTATAGGGAGAGGGGCTAAGCCTTGATGGCAGGATTGTGCTCTGTGGACAAGGGAATTTGAACAATGGCAGGAGGGCATTCTAGGCTAAAGGAGCTGAAAAGCACAAGCTGTGATGTGCATGGAAGGTGAGATGAAGCTTTAGACATGTTGAAGCCTCCTGAACCTAGGACATGAACACCCTAAAGTTTTCTTGCTGAGAAAGAGCAAACAGGATCATACACAGAACATTCGCCACAGAAAATGATGAGGAAATGGAATCATGAACTGGGGACTTATGCACTGTGGCTAATAGACTGATAGGGTTAAGACAGTTATAGTACTTTAGATTCTGGCCTTCTCATCATTTCTGACATCCAGATGAAGAAACTCTGGCATAAATAAATTAAATGGCCCAGAATCATGCTTTAGGGAAATAGTAAAGCCATCATAAAATTCACAGCCCCTGAATTCCCAGACTGTTCCAGCATTCAGACACACTGCTTCTATTGTTGCTCTCCAATGCTTAAAAACAAAATACCCTGTGTGTACAAGGAAAGAAAAATATTCACTGACCACCTAGTGACAAGAAATACATTAAAAAGTTGAGAATATTATGCCTACATTCCAACAGGCGGGAAGCCATGTCATGTGTGTGTTTTGGTAGGTGCTAAAAGTGTTAACACAGGTTATTTACATACTCAAAGAACCTAGTCAAATCTAACACATTGTTTGACACCTACTCTTGCCCACTCCGGCCCACAATCTTCTCTACCTTTTAGAGTTTGGCTTATTCTCTGGTTGTTTCACATGTGCATGTCTTATTTCACCTAATACTGGTACCCTCCATCATGTCTTCTCCTTCTACCTCTCCTCCTCCCCAGAGTCAATTCTTTCTTCTCTGGTTACAAATTTTATTAGGTTTCCCCTACCCTGAAGAATACAATGTTGTCCCTTGTCCTTGTTATCATTTCAAGCCTCTGCCCTTCCTCTCTCTCCTATGACTATGAAAACTTCTACAGTGGTTGCCTTCTCTTGAAATCTATTAGGTCGGTGCAAAAACAATTGCGGCTTTTCACCATTAAAAGTAATGCTGTTACTTTTGCACCAACCGAATACATTTAGCTCCTAATATTTTTCTGAGATGGTTTTTCAAGGTCATTGCTGTGCTCCTAACTGCTACGTCATATAACGTTTTCTCAGCCATCTTCCTTCTCCTCAGCCTCTCTGCAATACTTAGCATTATAGACCGCCCAGCCTATTATTAGGCAGCTCCAAACAGCCAGACCATGTTCTCTCTCCTGTAAGAGCCAGAAGGGGCAGAGTTAACACCCTAGGCCATGGGTTGGCAAACTATAGCCCAAGGGCCAAATCTTGCCTGCCTCCTTTTTTGCAAATAAAGTTTTTCTGGTCACAGCTAGGTTCGTTTGTTTACCTACGGTCTATGGCTGCTTTCGTGCCACATCAGCAGAATGGAGTGGATGCTATAGAGACCACTTGACCCACAAATCCTAAAATATTTACTATCTGGCTCCTTTACAGCAGAAGTTTGCCAATCCCTGCCCTAGACAATTTTCAAAAACCCAGCTATAGATAAGCCATTCCTCATTTGCTACAGTCATGTTCTACTCCATGGCTCATGAATTATTCTCTCTTGGTAACAGCAGCCGCAGCAGCAGCAGCATTAACAACTGGCTGCTGTGCTAATGAGTGCTATTATGTGCTGTATCTCATTTAATCCTCACAGCAAACTTCTAACATTCAGACTTTGATTACCGCCATTTTACAGATCAGTAAACTAAAGCTTCCAGGGATCAAGAAACCTGCTCAAAGTCACAAAACTAGCAGGGGCTTAGATTCAAATCCAGGCAGCCTAAAACTAGAGCCTCTGCTTGCTATTAACTACCACTGTATACCCTCCATCTCCAGGTTTCTACCTAACTTCTTTTCAGCTCAAGATTCCAGATTTTCCTAGGCCGTATGTTTAATGCCATGAGGACACACCTCTTACCATCTCTACCTAGTGTCCTTGGTACTCTGCTTCCCCCACCGGGTGAGAGGCCTTCTTGGGAACTTGGTTGAAAGCTGTATTTGTACAGCAAGTATACCATTTTTAGGGAGACTATATATCATTTGGAGTGGCGGGGAGGTTGATGGAATTTATAAGGCAAGGTGGCACCATTCCACCCCTGGCCACTATGAAAGAATGAGATCATAAGCTTCTTGAGAGTATGAGCCATATCTTACATGCTTTTCTGCATCACCAAACGAGAGAGTAGATGTTTAAGAAACACCCACAAAATGTCTCAGGAAGTCCTCTTCCATATCTTCTCTCCTAAAACCCATGCAGCACATATTTCTTTAAATAAACTGTCTCCAACAGAAGGGCTCTTCCTCAAAACAAGCACCAAACGACTAACATCATCTTAAAATGGATACAGTATTTTATAGTGTACAAAATGCATTTAATGCATTTCCTCATTTATTTAAGGTAAGAATTGCAGGTATTAGTACCCTGTACAGATGGGGACATCAAGCTTCTAAAAGGTTCACCAGCAGTTCATTAAACGTAGGAAATAGGAAAGCACAGTACCCGACTCAGCTCATGACTTGGGGGAGGAACATACCACAATTTTAGGAGATTTGTTTTGAAAACTAACATTTTACCATACCTGATAAAAGCCCAATAAGGAGCATCAACAACCAGCCGGAAAAAGCATCACTCACGCTGTGAATTAAGGCCCATGTTGACTCTTTGCTTTTATTGGTAATCTAGGGGAAAATTAGAAAACATTGGTACACTCTACACACATCCTTTTTTCACCTCAAAACTGTTCAACAAAGAAATACAAAGACAAATCACTGGAGAATAGAGACCAATTTAGAGCTACCTCTCATATCATCTTTAGCCGAACCAGTTTGACTAACAATTTTGAGGTTTGCTGAAACCCCACCTTCATCTACAGTATTGTAATACCCACAAGTCCCTTATTCAGGGCTTCCTCCCAAGCTGCTCATTTCTTATAGCATCAACGTGTGTTGCTAATTGCAGTGGTCTCTTTCTGTCCTGGACATCAGATATTCCAAGGGCAATCTCTTGACTCACAGCAAATAATTTCAATGTTTTTCACAGAATAAACAAACACAGGCTTATTTGAGTGATAAAAGTACAAATTGAGGCTTTACTACCTGGGGGCTGTAGCTCAGGTCAGGCAAATTCCCAGACTTAATCCCACAAACCCCTAATTGTACAGTGGTCACAGATACTAAGTGATAGCAACAATGTATCTCTTTCATTTTCAAAAACCTGCAGGTAACATCAAGGCTATCAGGAGGTGCAGAAAGTTTTATCTTTTAAGTCCTAGCCTTGACAATTTAAGCCTTCAGGGCCCACATATTAAAAATCAACATTCTGACAGTTTTGTGTGGGTACTTCCCCTTTCTCTGAATCAATATTTCTTATCTTTGAAATGGCAATTTAGCTACCCCACTGTATCTACAGTAATGTCACAAACAATAAATTATTCTGAAAATTTCAAAAGCATTTTAAAAAATAGTTTTGACCTATGACTTTAAGTTTCCAATTTCAGTGCTGAAAAGGAATGAAGTTACATTTTTCCCTATGACATTGTTTCCCTTCTGATAATGAACAGTTAATACCAAAAAAAAAAAAAAAGCCCCCTTGTGCTATTTGATAAACAGACTTTAAGTGGTTTTAGATTACTAATTGGCATCATTTGCCTCAGATGCAACCATTAATATAAAAGGAAGTGCGGGCTTGTCATACCACAGGTGACTCTCATAATCTGGATAACATGTTGAATATGCAACTGATGAGAAACTGCCAAATTACAGATGGCAGAAATTCTAAAGCCTGCCTGATGAATTCATATATACATACGATAGAAAGAATATGTGTATATGTTCCCAAATGGCAGAAATCTTATGAAAAACATGAAATGTTTTATAGTGATCAACTTTTCGAGTTGTGACAAGAAAACTCAGTGGGATCACCAAATATCCCAGGATTAAGAAGGAATTTCTCAAAACCTGTACTTGGGACAACCTGACTCCTGGTTTCAGGTGGTTGTGAGAAAACCAGTCAGGAGCTGGAAAGGATTAAGAATGAAAAGCAATCTCCAACTGACTACTCAGGAGATTTGCTTGACTCTAAGAGGAGGAAATTAACTTGGGAGAGAATGGGGCAGCTTAAAATAAATCACATTTCAAATCTAGAGTCCAAGCAGAAATAGTAAGAAAGAAAAAAAAACCTATTGTGGGTTGAAGAAGTGACTCACCAGATGACCATCTACTAGGAATCTCTGGGATTGGACACCAATTTTTTAAATAAGCTTTCTATGTGGCCCTCATACAAACCAGAAATTGTGACTCTCTCATTTAAATGATACACAGCAACAAGTTAAAGGCAAATTACCTTGGCAGGTCTCTCTAAGAAGTTTTCACAGTACTTCAAAAATAGAAAAGTGGGGAAATTACCTTGCTAAATTCAAAAGAACCTATACCATAGCCATAAGTGCCATCTATTACCTATCATATTAAATTAATCTCCCTAATTTGAATTTGATTGGTCTTGTGGTTTTATTGGAGTTGAAAGCATAAGTTTACTTTAGTTTTATGGTTGCACAAGAGCAATAATCACAAGGAGTTTATTTTGTATGCTTCAGTAAACACTAAGGCTCTGAGATTTCTTTCTTTTATTCCTTTAACAGACCATGTACTTTACTTAGTTATGAATAGCCTGCATTAAGGGACAAACCATAAAAGACGGATGAGATGGGAAAGGAAGATCTTTGACATTTATTTTGCCACCTTCCTCCAAGCTTGTTTTCACCTCTCTTCAGAGGCATTTATATCCATTTCGCTGTAAGGATCCTTTTCAACTATTTACTATAGGAAGACAAATCATTAAATGCAATTTAAAATTTTTAGGATAAAAATTATGTCCAAGATGTCTTTAAAAGTAAATTTAAAAAACAAAACCCTATACTGCCAACAGAAACCAGATTCAGTCGCATCCAGGGCTGAAGAAAGGAAAAAACAGAAACAACAGACATCTTCAATTTCTTCCCCTGTATTTCCTAACAATTATGTGCCATCTTTTGTCTTACCTCTCGGTGCCTATCCCGGTCTCGAGACTTCTCTCTCACCCAATCAATTGTATTGAAATCATCATAGGTGCCTACACCAGGGATTGGTTCCTCCAAGAAATCCATGATCCTATTTGAAGAACCTATTCCACCACCATTGTACGACTTGTCCTCTGTATTAAACAAGAAACAGACATTAGTACTTCAGACACTGTTAACATTTTTAATACCTTCTCTTTGGGTTCCAAAAGGTGAGCCCTTAAACTATTAGTTGACTACAGTTGGGGCTGATAAAGAAATACAGTCACCTGGTATGAACATCCGTCCCATTCAGAGGTTTCTGTGGTGTAGGCACAAAATGATGAGTGGCTAAAAGCAGTATCAATGGAAAGCGACAGATGAGAGTGACAGTACAAAGAGAAAAATGAAAGGAGTTGATGTGCAATGGAAAGGATTTATGAAACAAAAGACAAGAAGGAGGGTGGAGCAGCTTAGGTATTTCAGTTTATGGAAGGGAGACAAAAGGGTCAAAGGCACTTGCAGCCATATCACATCAAGAACCATTTTACATTTATAAGGCAGTAATGCAATCCTATAAGGTGGTTTCTGCCTGACTGGGGACTCCAAATAAAGCATATGGGCCTCTTCACAATGTAAGTTGGCTGGAATGTACAAATTTCCCTTCAATAGGTGTAAGACTTGATCCCTGGCATAATGGGCTTGTAGGAACTCTAAGTATGTCAGCACAGTCTAAGATTTACAAGCAGAGATTTAAAGAACAGTGCATGATTCAGTGATGAAATGTCCCTCCCTGATCATTCAACTGGAAGAAACATATCCACCTGCCCACCCATCATAGTCCCTTATCTACTTTGCTTTGGGTACTTCCATTACAATTACTTATGTGCATGCTTTCTCTTCCTTTCTAGACTAGAAGCTTTTTGCTGGTAGCCCAATATCTCTTTCATCATTGCCTTCTCCACAGTGTCTAGCACATACCCAAGAATCAGTAAATATCACCTGAACCAAAATTTGTTTGATGAATGGTGGGAATGGGGGAGAAAGTTTTAAACTCACAAGCTATCTCACACAAGGCTTAATCTTGATCAAAATATTTCTGCAACATTGTTTGATGGAAGAAGATTTTGCTATTAAATGCAAAATATAAAGCAGTACTGAGGAATCTATGCAAATGAACACTGAGGAAAAGGGCAGAGTAATGCCATCATTTAATTCACCCAGCCAGAGCTCACATTTGCAGCACCAACCTTGGCAGGGACAAGGCTTCCTCCAGACTGTTTGGTAATAAATCCCTCTGCAGAGGAGGCCCAAGTGGGCCTGAGCTGACTCCCTCTCTTTCCATCTGCATCCACATCTTCACTGTAAACTCCAAACAGACAACTTTAGCACTCATATGGGGTAAGTTTGAAGGAACACTCCAAGCTGTACTTACAATTGGTTTACCAATTGTAAGTCTTCTGAATATCTAAGTCAGCACGCCTTTCACAGGCAAGGTGCACATTTGAAAGAAAAAGCTCTGCAGAGTCCAAATGATCTGTAGGGTGACGGTGGGTGGGGGTGGAGTGGAGAAGGTGAACAAGTTAATCTTAAAACCCCAATCCAAAGTCCTTTCCATATCTTCATTTGTATCTTGCTGTAAAATGGATGGCTGCTGAATCACCAGCCCAGCATTTCCTATCATGTCAGTGTCATATTGATAAAGATGAAAGCTGGTGTGTTTCTTGAGAGCTTAGAGGGAAAAAGCCAGCTAGGAAATGAGGGCAGAAAGAGGATAAAGTATGTGTGTGTGGAGGTGGGGGAGGGCAAGCTGTTTCAATTCTCAAGTCCAATGCTGATATGAACACAGGACACCAAACAACCAGATATTTACTTTTTAAGGCAGGTTAATGCCCCAATTGAATTTACTCTGGTTTAAGAGTTCTCCTTTCAAAAGGGAAAAACAGGATTTTCTGAAACTAATTTTAAAAATCATCTGACAGCTATCTAATGTTAAACTATATATCAAATGAGGCCCCCAGCTTTAAGGATATTAAGGCAAAATGAAGATCTGCAACAGCTTCTAGCAGGAAAGAAAGAATCCTATTACATCACTAGGTAACATGAGCACTGCATCATCCTCCTTTGTAGTCCGGTTTCCTTAGAAACGCAATTGTCAGGCCCCTCTCAAAGAGCAGGCAGTGATTAGAATCCTACAACAGACTGCTTGCGATTCTCCAGATCCCCTGCTCCCGGGGGGCATGCTTCAGTCCTTGGTTGGGCTCAAGTCTGCTTACCTTCAATCACAGTTTTCTTTTTTTCTGCCTCAAGGAAGAAATAACCTTGGCAGCCCGCATTTGGTCATTTAGGTTGGGGAGCTTTTACAAAAGAAGCCCCAGTCTGAAGTGCTTTAGAAGGGCACTTGCTGCATTCTCTGCCTTTCACGGCAACAAACGCCACCTAAAGAACCACCAGTGTTCCCTGGCGGTCAGAATGTGATGTCACTGTTGGAGTCATGTGACCAGACCTTTGGACCAGCCTGGGAGAAAGGAAGATTTTTAACTGGGCAAGGAAGCCTTAAAGATGTAGTCTCATCTAAACAAATGCCATCAAACCGGTGGCAGTCGGGTTGGCTCAGGAAACCTGGGTCCAGACAAGTCTTAATCTTCATTTAGCAGAAAGTCCAAGAAGGCAAAGTAGAAATATCCAAAAGAATTTAGAGTTACAGAGGTCCTAAGTATAAAAGGGAGAAAGGCAAATATAAAAAAGGCTTTTTAAAAAATGCACTGGATAGCAACAACGTAGGTAGTCTCACAAACCTAATGCTGAGTGAAAGATACCAGACACAAAAATGCACATAACATTCATTACGATTCTATGCCTCTAAGTTCAAAAACAGGCAAGCCTAACTTATATCATTTTACAACAGAAATGTAAGTGATTACATTTCAAAGAGAAGCAAGGAAATAACAAAAGTAAAGATAGAAGCCACCCAGAGAAGAGGGCTGTCATGTGGGAGGGGCACATGGCAAGGGCTTCTGGAATGCTGGTCACTTTTCTTGATCTGGGACGTGGTTTACTTGTGTGCTCATTTTACAATTATTCTTTGAACTGTATACATGTTTTATGCTTCTTTATGTACAAATCATAATTAAAGAAAAATGTAAAAAACTGAGCTGCATATAAACTTACTATACAAGGTCAGTTCTTTAAAAGCACCTCGTCACTTAAAAAACCCAGAGTACAGTCAAGAAAATGAGTTGTTTCTGAGTAGTAGTGCTCTACGCAGAAAGCAACAACTCTGATACTCATTAATCCAACCTGGATGAAAGTAGCTATTTCAGCCTGACAATAAATTCACTATGTTTCCATGGTTTTAAAGGGTTGTGAAGGCTATTTTAAAGCAGGTCTTAATTAATTGTGCAATTTGGCCAGTCCAGTAAAGAATAAAATTGGTATCTCCCAACTCTCTACATTGGGAGGATTCCCTAAGGGAATCTGAAGGACAGCCACTGTTAAACATAAACCCAGTCATAGTGTGCTCTAATAATTGGACCCTGTGTGTAGGGCTCTGAAAGGGTATTACTCTCATCAATTCTTAAGGTTAAGAAATGTTAATACAACAAAACCTTATGAAATGTGAGGCACTGCATGGGACCTGTATGCTTTCAGTTCATCATTGTTATATTATCTCATTCACTTCATGAACTAGTCTAGCATTAATGAGGAGGATTGAAAAGGTAGTGGCAACTGACTGTATTAAGTGGCCATGAGCTACACTGCTATAAAAAGCAAAAACCATTTATGGTCCAACTGTGAGTGTCTTATTCGATTAAACTTTTAGAAAAGTACGTATACCTCATTCAAAAAGGATAACCTGCCCAACCTCTTAAGCCTCCTTCCAAGTTGTTCTTTAGTAAACACAATTTTACCTGTAATTGTATCTGAAGACCACTACAGAATTCACTTATATTATCTAGTATGATTTACATTATCTATTAGATTATTTCACACATTAGCAGCTATATTAATTAGCAGTCAATTTAGCAAAGATACTATCTTTTTTGGCACATAAAAATGTATAGTTCAAAGGATTGCATAGCTGGTGCCATAACTTTTAATGAAAGTTCATGTGTTTTTCAAATGCTTTATCAACACTTCTAAGGGAGGGGTTTCTTTTTATTCCATGTACAGTTACTTCCTTTGAGAACTAGAGGGCTGGTAGCTATGATGCAGTCCTCATACTAAAACAAGATTTAATTAGAATTTAGATTAAGAAATGAGGCACCAGTATCAGAGTTTGACATGCTTTATTTCTTTTATTCTTTTCTACTCTCCATTCTCTTCTCTGGCAAACTTGTCATCTTTCGAGTGTGTTCATTATACAGACTGCCCAATGTAGGTCAACTGATACTGTTGTAAAAATAAGATAAAGAAATTCTTACCAATTTTTAATGCATCCTATGATAAAAACACAATAATAGAATATTTTGAGATAAACAGAATTCTTTCTGAAACACTGATCTGACCAGGTAATTTCCCGATTTTTACTATGCCAGTGGCTCCTACAGCAACATTTTGAAAACTTTTAGCCCATGAAGACCTCTAAATGGTTATTTGACACAAGAGTGGACTGTGAATTTAAAAATATTCATCATACTTTTTAGAATAGGGAAAACCATATATTTTAAAATGTATAATAATGATGACAGCCATTACTGCTATTTCAGGTTTCATCAATGAAAAGGTTTAACTTGTTCACACTCTTTCACCAAGGTATCTATAGCTGACTTGATGACAAACAGCTTAAGTCACTGGTCATATTCCACATCTAACTGGTTTCTTTTCTTAGCTTTCTGAGATGGAGTTTTGCTCTTGTCGCTCAGGCTGGAGGGCAGTGGCGTGACGACAGCTCACTGCAACCTCTACCTCCTGGGTTCAAGCAATTCTCCTGCCTCAGCCTCCCAAGGAGCTGGGATTACGGGCACCTGCCATGCCTGGCTAATTTTTTGTATTTTTAGTAGAGATAGGGTTTCGCCATGTTGGGCAGGCTGGTCTCAAACTCCTGACCTCAGGTGACCCACCCGCCTCAGCCTTCCGAAGTGTTGGGATTACAGGCATGAGCCACCACGCCCGGCCTTTTCTTAGCATTTTTTAGTAGAAATTTAGTAAATTTAGAAGAAATAAATTTTTAAAATTTAGCTGTCAAGAATGACAGTAGAAATGATCTACCCATTAACTAACGAAGCACAAAGTAACAAAATGTAAAAGGCTTTTCAAAAAACAATGTATTCAGAGTTAAGCTTCTGGTGTGTAAATATGCTGCCAAGAAAGGCAGAGTAAAATTAAACGATGAGCCTACATGTCAGGTTGAAGTACTAAGGTGAGTCTAGATTTTTTTGCCTCTAAAAGAAAAAAAGGTAATACTTCTCTCAAATTTTGAAGGCATGGTGAATGTTGTACATTAAAAAACTTAATGCCCTAACAGAAAAATTATTCAAGTTAAAGTATAATTAGACCTCAACTTAAATGGCAGAACAAAAAGCCCCCAAAAGGCTAATGTGCATTGCCTGAGTCCAGGAAAAACATACAGTAAATCAGTCAGAGAAAAAAGTCAACATTGAAACAGCTTTCCTGTAGGGTTACACTCGGGTCCAAAGACTTAACAACAGGTCTTTAGAAACACAGTGCTTGAATGAGGAGGCATATAAATGAATGTATTTAGCTCAGTTCCCATCATGGAAACTACTTTCTAATTTTTTTTCTTAAAAATCACATGATGCTTAAAACTAGAAAACTCCTTAAAATATAAGAAAAAAAAAAACCTGATTTGAGAATAATGTTTATTTAAATCCCTAACCAATATGCCATTAGAAATTTACCTAGGGGGATGAACAGTAAATGATTAAGTGAACTAGTTAAACACTAACAAAAACACAAGGGGAAAAAGGATAGGAAGAAATCTCATACACAGACCTTGAAGAACTGCTTTAGTAATATCACAGCTGCATGAGGGCTCACTAATTGGCAACAGCCTAAAGAAATAAATAAGCATTCAAAGAAATGGGGCAGGGCTATTGGTATATATCACAGGACTTGAAAATAGTCCCTTTTAAAAATGTTATTTCAGTTTTACAGGGATATATTATATTTTTGCAAGGCTGGAACCACATGTACAAAAAATTCAACATTATGCCTAACAAACATCAGCAGATATTCATCCTGTGGTTATTTAAACTTTACTTGCATTAAACAGCAAATACTAAGAGCCTATTATATGCCACTTCTTACTTCCATACTTGCACCCCGCTTCTCTTCTTGTACTGGTTCATCCATTCTAGATCTCCCAGTAAGTCACATAAACTCTTTCACATCCCATTTCATGTATTTGTCTGATAGTACATTACAGCAGAAGCCCTGATAAATTAATCAACATTTGTAGGAAGTTTCTATCTAGCAACTTGTGCCTTCATTTTGCTTCTTTTTTGTTTTCCCACTTAACTAAATTCAGTGATCAAAATGCAAATGTTGTTGGAGTAGCCCTCCCATCTAAGTCCTGAATAGACGTTATGCTTTAGTATACTCTTAGTTTGTGCCCGGGGACACTTATTCAGGGCAGCTATTCTGTTGGTATGCATCTGTATGCCATACCAGTTTGCTAAATACTACTTCAGTAACTACAGATAAATAACCACTTTTTCCTGAGGACTCTCCTCCCCCACCTCACCCTACCCGAGAAACTCCTGAACTTACCCATGATCCAGCAGCTGGAATACCAGGAGGCTCCAGGACACTGCCCCAGTGCTATGTCTGACAGCCAATCTGATTGGGCAGTGCCTGTGTTGTTTTGAGTCTCATCCCTGCACTCATTTCATTTAGCGATCCACTGCTTTGGTTCCTGTTCACAGCAGGTTAAAACTTCCAAGTGTCTAACACGCAGGAAGGACAACAAAGAAGAAACTCTATCCTGACTCTGCTGACAGCTAGACAATAAAACAGATGATGAAGGATGTGGGAAATGGAACTGCAAGAACCCCAACAAATCTATGATATTGAAATGAAGTTTGACAGTTATGAGAGAAATACAGAAAGGTTAGGCATGGCAAAAAGGGATAGGGAAAGCTGTAGAGACAAGCATGAAATGAGATTCTAACACCTCCTTCTGACTCTTTATTCCCATTGGATACAGCTCCATCTTCACTGGGTTGGAGATATTTGCTTGAGGAGTATCTCTTGTAGTCCTCTCATTCCCAGCATCTGCTCAACTCTGGAAGTTCCTGACTCAACCCACTTTCATGACCAATGGAACCAGGGTGCTAACTGCCAGTTATCAAAGTAACCAAAACAGAATGAGGACTTTGGCTTGGTATCTGCAGGCTCTTTCTGGACTAAGATGTCACAGAAAGTAATGTAGCAATGAAGTGAAGGGGCTAGATTTGACAAAATTGCTGAGAGGGCTCTCCATAAAAAGCAAACAGCACTCCACTCCCTTACTTGCTCTTCCTTCCTTCCTTCTCAATTGTACACATTTATGGGACTGACAAGAGAATGGGGAATGTGATGGGTACGGAGACACTGCCCTAAAATGCACATTACATATCACAGTGTTGGGAAATCCTTTGGGTAGCATGATCCTGCCTAATAACTTCTAATTATTGTTGTAGAAGCAGGAATTATCCAGTTCTTCTGTCCTAAGTCTACATTGGTTTCTCTCTATTAATTTCCAAAGGGAAACTGGGCACACGAGACTAGCAATTACTCTTTGGCAGGGGAAAAATTTCAAGAGAGAATATACCAAGTGTGAGATTCTCCTTGGATTAATAGGAATTGTGTGATGTCATGAACAGAAAAATAAGTTTCAAAAAAGCATATATATAGTGAGAATTGCCCTTAAAGACACAGTTGCACCTGCGTACACCAGTGTATCTATGCTATTCGTTGCAGCACTGTTTGTAGTAGCAAAAACCCAGAAACAATATAAGTGTCTGGTAATAGGGAAATAGTGCAAGGAAAGAAGTAGACTGATGTGTACTGAAATAGAAAACTATTCCAGACATATTACGTGAAAAATCAAGTCACAAAATAAGCAGAATATGTCTTTTTTTATTTTTTTTATATTTTTATATATGTGACTGGATAGAGAAAGAGCTGCAAGGATCATACTGAATTCTTTTTGGTGGTTGTCTCTGGAGTGGGACGAGCAGAGTAGACTTTCACATTTTAAAAACGTGTATTGTTTGAATCTTTCATAGTGAGGCATATTTATGTGTTATATAAGTGATTTTGAAAAGAAAAAATAATAGCAATGCAACTGGAAGAGTAGAGACAGGACATTGCAAAGAGCAGATCTATGTTCTGGGAGGCAGATTACTGGCATACTTGTGGACAAAGTAGGTGATAGCTTCTGGTGAACACCAGGAGGGAAAGCCTGGAGAGGAAGATGGTTTATTCAGTTTTTAAATAACAGTTAATAGGAACAAGTGTACTCAGATCCATTGTCCTGCAGTGAGAAGATGTGGATTCCAATCCTAGCTCCATAACTCACTAGTTGTGTCACCTTGGGCAACTGCCTTAATCTCTGTGGGTTTACAGGTTTGCCATCTGTAACATGAGGAGGTACTAGCAAGTATAATGTTAAGGTCCCTTCCAAATTCATACTCTATCATTTTAGTGATGATTTTTTTGCTTGGTCATTCATATATTGGATTGAATGAATGACTTCTGAGAGACCTTTATCTTTGAGGAATTCCAAATGATAATTTGACTGCACAGTTAACTGAGAATGCTCTACTGGCAAGATCATAAAATCGTGCTTCCAATCCTTAGAAAAGAAAGGTAAGACTCAGCTCATCAGTGAAGTATAGGACAATCTAGTAGCTCACTGAGACCCAACATTTCTGACATATGGTTAACTACACATAGCTTACCCATACGGCTACAGTATCTCTGGATTACTTGGTAATCCAGATTTTAGAAACATGCAGCACATACCCCCTGAAGCATTACAGTAACCCCTTCCTCTACCATGTGTCATAAATTGGAACAAAATGGAGCTGAAAATATATTCCTTCAAGAAGGGACCAAAGTGGTTTTATTAAATGAAAACGGGGAACCTCTGGATTCAGCTCCTGCAAGCAAAGAGCTTAGAAGTTATTACTCACATCCTTACAACAAGAAAAGTTTGGATAAACAAAAAAAAATCAATGATCTTTCTTGGACGCCCTGGAGAACTGAGGTTGCAGAGGAAACTGCCACCACAAAATCTGAAGAGACAAGCTTATTCAAAGAGACACAGCTAAGATCTGCTTACCTGGTGTAGAAATGGCTGGAGCTGGTAGAAACACAAATGGTTAACTTGAACAAGTTGCTGAAGGCTGAATGTGAACTAGCATGAGTACAAGAAACTCCTTGGGACCACGGTGTTAGGTGAGCTCCCACACCAAAGCTCTGCCTCCAGGAACCCCACCAAATTCTCACAGTGAAGATCTAAGAAAGAATCCCTCCTAGCTCTGACAAGGGGAGGGAAAGAGAAATCATTGCAAAATTTGCCCAGAGATTTCTCCATAACAAAGGCCTCAGGGGAAAATACTTTGCCTGAGCCTTATCCTAGTTGGGAGAAGGGCATTCTTCCCACTCCAACCCCCTCTAGCCTTCTTATCTCACCTAAAGCAGGGGAACAAACTCAACAGGGTATAGGGCTTCAAGTAAACACATTGGGAATGCTGCAGTCAAAGAAGAGAGTGGAGGGCAGGGAGGACAAAAAGCTATACTACTGGAGAAAAATGTGAATGTCATAGCCACAAAACACAGTTCCATGAAACAGTGATATTTAATCTGAGGACTATAAAATTACCACTTCCCCCATACTTTACCACCACCCCAACATGGCTACAGTATAATAATAGGGGATCACAGTTGAAAAGCAGTAAG